TTTCTGAGATTGTGGATTTGGGGTTTTCATGAGCTGTAAGCCATAATCATCACAGTTATGACACATCACGGCTTGAACTATCTTGCTTTGCATGTAATGAGTCTATCTCATATATTAGGTTCACCTTTTAAGTTGCATTACTGAAATAAATGAACTTTTGCACGATATTCTAATTTTTCGAGTTTCACCTGTATATAGGACTTCCTGAGAGTCCACATCTTAAAATAATTTACACACAGAAAAGAAGGTATCATGTCCTCCTTGAATTCTTTGTTGAGCAACCAAATTTTTAGATAATAAATTACTAAAGTCTGAAATGTTTATGTGTTTTTAAAAAATCTTCTTTTTCAATTATTTTCATAATTTTTTTACTTTACCTTCCTTTGAGCATTAAAAAAATTGCTAGTTTTTACTGGTATTGTGCATGACATCAGTGTAATGAGCAATTTATTAAATAAAATCTTAATGAAGCCCTTCTTTAATTATCAGATTAAATTAAATTTCCTCTCTGACAGCATGGAAGAAGTTGTACTCCTTTTTTTTTGGTCATCAGACAAATATTGCTTAAAGTTAGTAAAACTAGGGAAAGTGCTTTCTCCCTTTAGGGTTAAAAATTGAATTTATATAGAGGATTCCCTTAATATGAATTAGGATAAAGGTTAATGAGTCAATAGAGGTATATATTATTCCCCACAGCAATGAGAAACAGAGATGGTCAGACTGATTCCAAAGAAAATAATATATTTAATCTTGCTTCTATTTTGAAATTGCTTCCAGATTTTGTGCTCACACTGAAAAAGAAAATTGAAATCTTGATTCTGTTTTTGTTAATTAAATAGGTTTATTGTTATAGAAATGGTTTGTATATACTGTTGTGTGAAAGCAAAAAGTTGTCACTGTAATATTGTTATCTTCTACTGTGCTAAAGAGAGTTGGAAGTTGGTGCCTTTTTCTTTTCTCTTCGCTCTTTACACTATCTTTTTTCTTTTTCCTCCCCCTTTTTCTAGTTTTCTATTACTTTTTTTGAATTTCTCTTTGTATTTTATATTTTGACAAACCAATAAAACTATTATTATGATAGAATACTCTTTGCCAACCCAATTTTTAAAACACCCAAGTTTTTCCAGATACTGTAAATTTAGATTCAAATTCAAGTTTTTGATNACAAGAGAATTCTGCTGTAGCATACTAAAGACCCTAAGGTTACGGCCTTAAGCCTTTTGACCTTTTATTTTTTGAAAGACCCAAAGATCAACAAGTGTGCTATGCCTTCCCAAGGATTAATTCACTATTAATGCTTGACTTAAGAAAAGCAATTACTAAAAATATAGAGCATTCTGAGAACAATAAAAAAGAAATAAGTATTTTATGGGGCTAGCTACTAATTCACGATTTCCAGCTCCATTTAATATTATTGAAGGAAAAGAAAGAAATGGGGGATGAATTCAGGAAATATACTGAATGTTGTAGAAAAAGACGGCAATTGGGACAATAGAATTGGAGAAACTGGATTGATTCTAATAGGAATTTTACATCCATAGCATCTAATGTACTGTAAGAGACATTCTTCTATTGTCTGTTGTACTGTAAAATTGGAATGCCAAACAGGAATTTATATCAATATCATATTTTAAATGGCTAAATAATATCACTACACACTATCTTTAAAAAAACACACACAAAAGAATAAGTGCTCTGTCTATTTCCTGTTATTTTTCTTTTTTGAAGTTAATATATGGTTCCTCCACTGATAGTAGTACAGAAAAAGAGGCTATTCTCTATCAACAAATGTTCCCAATTATGGACCATCAATATAAAGGAATCTTTCAATTACTGTTGCATTTCCAATGGACATGGATTGGGATCTTGTCTGTGAATAATAATAGTGGTGAGAAGTTTGTACAAGATCTGGTTCCCATGTTTGCCCAGAGAGGAATCTGCTTAGATTTCATTGAAACGTTTCCTGTCATTGAATATTCAAATACCATTCTTGAATTGGTGGAAATGGAACTTCAAATGTACATGGTGGTTATGAAAAGCACAGTTAATATAGTACTAGTTCATGGTGAAATTTACGGAATTGTAGTTCTGAGACTTCTTTCCACTAATTTGAAATCTGAAGATGTATCATTATGGAGAAAGGGTAAAATCTGGGTGATGACCGCTGAGATGGATTTCACCTCACTTCCCTTTCTAAGGAATAGTGACCTAGTTTTCCTCCATGGTGCTCTGTCTTTTGCAATTCACTCAGAGAAGGTGTTAGGATTTCAGCAATTTGTTCAGATGAGGAACCCTATCTTGGAAAAAGAAGATACTTTTATCAAGCTCTTCTGGGAAAGTGCCTTTGAATGTTCCTTCTCCATCTCTGTTATGGAAGATGAAAATGTGATTCCCTGCACTGGAAAGGAGAAACTGTTAGCTCTTCCTACATCTGTGCTTGAAATGGATATGACTGGCCAAAGCTACAGCATCTACAATGCCATCCATGTGGTGGCACATGCTTTGCATGACTTCCATTCATCAACGGTGGAATACAGAACTAGAGGACATGAAGCCAAACTGGAACATCTGGAACAAAAGCTGTGGAAAGTAAATCTTCAAGCCAGGCCAATTACTGGCTGCTAACTACATTTGTCATCCAAATCCGAAACCTAAGTGAAATTCATTCTTCCAAGGGATTGTGTCAAAACATATAGTTTTGCTAAATGTCACCTACTGTCTAGCTGTAATCCAAATAATGTATAAAATAAAATATCTGCATATACAATATTATAATAACTGCATATTCAATAGGACATGGTTTAAAACTTCTTATGCCATTTAAAACGTCTTATGCCATATATATATATATATATATATATATATATATATATATATATATATATATATATATATATATATATATATATATATATATATATATATATATATATATATATATATATATATATATATATATATATATGAGTCTTTGGTCATTCGGGTTTTTTCCTGTGTAAGATTAGAAGTATCATAGCGACGTTTCGATGAAATCACATTCATCATCATCAGGCTTGTGCTTTTAGCTTTGTGCTTCTCAGTGTAATATGAAATGTCTGCTGTTTCTTTCTTTTAACTGCCAGTGGGGTTTGAACTGAGGGGGCGGGGACTTGGTCGTGTTCTGAATGGGTGGACGTGTGCTCTGATTGGTTA